GCCCAGCTGTGCTTTTCCCTCCGGTCGCCCAGTGTTGGCCTTGTGCTGTCACCTCGCTGCCACCGGCGAGGGCGCCGGGGGCCCACGCAGCGCTGGCCCGCCGGCCGGCGTGGCGTAGCGGGTGCGCTTTTTGACGGGGGATCTGCTCACCCTCTCTGGGGTGTGCGTAGCCTCTTCCAAAAAGTGAGCGGTTGTGTTGTCTCCGCTCACGTACGTTTGCTCCCAGCTGCCTCCTTTGGTCTCTGAGCCGAAGTTGGCGCAGCGTTTTTGTTCCCTTTGGCGTGTGCACGTGCTGAAGGTGTCTCTGGATCTCTCCTGCCGAACACTGCTTTCTAAAGTCACCCTAGAATCGATTAAAACTCGAGGGGTAATGAGGTTTATAGAGTTATACATTTGGGGATTGTTGGTCACTAGATGCCAGCTGAAATTCTGGGTGAGTCTACGCTATGTTTGGGAGAGCGGAGCAGCACTGTGCTAAAGGGTGCTTGGAAAACAGAAAGGAGAACGGAAAACAGAAAGGTCATGTTCTTGTCCAGTCTCTACACCATCTGCAAGGTTTTCTTACTTTTCTTATGCTCTTATTGTGCATACAATATAAAAATACAGAAAGACTGCGCAGCTGTACAGTTCTTATTCCAGTATATAATGAACCAGAAGTCAGAGGCTTATATTGATAGAGATTTATGAGTGTGCATGTATATGCCCAATTTGTGGTCAGTAAAGATGTTTGGGAGTGAAATTCTCACTAGGCATGAAAAATTTCCCTTAGATGAAAAGTTGCTGTTTGCTTAGACTCTTGAGAAATGTCATCATACAGGTTTTGACAAGTACAGGTACGGTAAACTAGCATATACTGTCCTATTTAATCCCTGTGTGTCCCTGAAGTGATGCAATCCCTTAAGTACTACAGTGAGCAGGTGTGTAAAGATTTGCACACTCAGTATCCAAGAAAAACCTGTAAAGCATGTGCCACTATTTCAAGTGAGCCACTAGCTTTCCTTTTTTTTTTTTTTTTACACTAAACATAATCGATAGATGCATAAACTGCATATTAATGAATGGTAGATGTAAAAGTTGTTCTGTAGTAGCGTTATGAACTAGATTTTTTGCCTTTGGACGATCGTAAAGCTGATGTTTTTCATTCAGTTGCCTTTTTTTCGTTTATGCAGGTGACCATGATGATCTTTCTTTTCAGGCAGGCCCGAGGGGTACTCTTGAGAATGCTACTTGGAAAATACAGCTGAAGTCCAGTAGTACTCTGCCTATCTCTCTAACTGAAATAAAGAGCCTGTAAGTATTGTATCTAAAATAATCCTAAATGATGAGTATCATTTTCTGTAACAATTTAATTTTACTTTGTGATAGTGTCACATGAAGTCATTTTTAAATCTCACAAATATTTAGATATTTGATGTAGCCTATTTTTGTTTTAATAATTACTAATTTAAAAATTATAGCCATGCAGTCATCTATTTTGGAAAATACATTATTCATACAGTGCATAAAATGTTTGCTTTTAATCAAGTATCGATAGAGTCTTTAAAGGAAGACCAGAGTTGGTCTCATCTGTTCTTTCTCTTCTGATCTTCCAGAATTTTTTTTCCTGTACTTCAGCTGACATGAAATATTGGTATGAGTTTCATGGCATTCAGCTTTCGTTATTTAGGTTCACCATGAAGAGATTTTTCAGCACTTCGCGCTCAACAGTGGATCCCAAAGAAATGAAAAAATTCCAGCTCCTCGCACATAAGTGGTGGGATGAAGAAGGAGACTATTCAGCCCTTCATTCTATGAATGATATTAGAGTGCCATTTATTAGGTATGCTTCTGAAGATGCAAACATTTTTCAGATGCTATTTATGTAAAAAAAAAAAAAAATTACAGTACTTAAGATAACGCCATATCACATCTATTAAAGCACCTTGTGTGTTTGCCCTCAGTAATATCCCTTTTATTTCAGAGATACTCTGTTGAACAAGAGTAATAATCATCAACTGGGAAACCCCCTTTCTGGACTAAAGATTCTAGATGTTGGCTGTGGTGGTGGATTGCTAAGTGAAGTAAGAAACACTTTGCTCCTCTTTATCATGTTAAAAGTATAGGAAGTTTTATATATGTGTGTGTGTGTGTGTATATATATTATATATATATATATATATATTTTTTTTTTTACTAATTTATTCTTTGATTTCTAAACTTCTGAGGAGGAGCTTCTCTCTTCTATGGTGTATTAGTTACCAGGTGTTGTGGAGTGCAGTGAATTCTGCAAACCCCATAGAATATTTGTTTAGGACAGTGGTGGTGTTCACAGAAAAGAAAGGAATCTGTAATGAGAAATGCTAAGGTCTCAAGGTTCATCCCAGAAGTAAGTTGTCAAGCAGGGTAAAGAAAAAGGGAAGAGAATGATGTAAACGTCTTGTAGCATTCCTCTGGGCAGTCACAGTATGACAATCCTGTTGCTTTGTGTTAGAGCCTTCACAAGAATGCTTTACCATGACAATCCCTGCTATCAAAATAGTATTTTCTATTATAAACCTGTTCTTCCTCTCATTTATTTGAATTGCTTATTGTCAGTTTTTTCACACTGTGGTGAGATTCTTGCTTTTGCTTTGATCTCATCAAAAAAGCATGGAATAACTTCAAACACCTAAAACACACCTCCTCTCTGGCAGGAAAGAGTCCCCTGATGCAAGGGCTGGTGCTGCAGCTGCTGCCAGAGGAGTCTTCACAAATGTGGGGTTGGGAAGGAACCAGATCCATCAACAGTGGAACTGTCAGGCCACACAGGCTCTGAGCAGCGCTATTTCCTATCGAAAGGCTAGGGATGGTTTGCAAATTTAGGGTTACAGATCTGGCTGAGGTACTCTGGGAACTTCATCAGCACCTGAAACAAGAGGTGTTACAAAAATTACCTGACTCTCCCCGTGTTTTTTTCGTTTATTTTGGGCAAAATTCTCTAGTCTTGTGAGACTCAGCTGTCAGACATGCCTGGCAAAACTGGTATGCTGCATAAGCTTCTCAAATTGAATAACTGGTGAATTTCAGTTTGGTAGAACATACATGTGGTCATGTTCTGCAGGCTGTTTCAGTTTCGAAAGAGGTGATGACTGAGGTGTTAACCTATAAGTAAGAAGACACTAGAGAAACTTGAGTGACAACCAAGCCTGATGCTATCCTAGTAAACATTAGTGTTTAGTTCTCAGCAGCGAGAACGTCCCAGAGATAATCATATATTAAGTAACCATTAAAAAGATATGAGGATTTACCATTACAGGTGGATGTTGAAGAAAGTAATGACAGCAATTAAATACTGCACTGTTTCCCCCCCTTTTTTTTTCTGTGTGTGTTAGCAATAGTGGAGGAAACCTTACTTGGGGATAACAAAATGGATTCAGACCAATTTATTCTTCAAAAAAGTATACATTTTAGTAGGTGTTTTTTATGTCTAAGGTTATTCCCTCTCCCTCCCCCCCCCAAACATTTAAAGGTTTTTTTTGTGTGCTTTATCTCTAATAAACATTTAAATGAACCTGGTGGATCAAAGCCTATCATTTATCGTTGTTTGGCTTATTCCTCTATTAATGTTTTCTGCAAGTGTTTTCAGCACTGTTTATACAGATTTTGAAGTTGCAGACACCTTTCAGTAAATTGTTTTCATGCACAGAATAAATTATACTCTGTATTATTAGCCTCTAGGTAGGCTGGGAGCTTCAGTTACTGGAATTGATCCTCTGGAGGACAACATTAGAATAGCAGATCAGCACAAGTCATTTGATCCCATCCTGGCCAGGAGAGTACAGTACAAGTCCAGTTCACTGGAGGATATTGTGGAAGAGTCTATGGAAACCTTTGATGTAATTGTAGCTTCTGAAGTAGTGGAGCATGTGGCTGACCTTCAAATGTTTATCAAGTGTTGCTCTCAGGTATTAAAGGTAAGAGAGCTTTTGCTTTTGTTGTTGGAAATATTCATTCTCTTTTATTATTAAGGCTTTTATTTGAATTCAGGTGTATGAAAATACCTAAATCTGGATTCGTTTCTCCACCCTGAAGTGCTTAAAATATGAGCAGTACTCTGGAGGTGCCTTTCATTCTCCCCGAGAATGCAAGAAGTGGGTCTTCCCAACTTCAGTGACTACAGTTAAAGGGAATTTGTTCCCCCAACCCTGCCTTAGTGACGTTACTTAAGATTGCAGTGTTGCTTTGCATCAAGACTTCCAGAAATCTGATTGCATCTGTTTTCTCCTGGGTGAGCCAAGACATGGCAGTGCTGCTGCTGATTGACAGCTACAGCTCAGACTGCATTGAAACTGGCTGTAATGACATTTCTGACTCACTAGATTTTATTCCAGATGTAGACTCATATCAGATGTACCCTGGGATTGCTTTTAAAGAATCACAGTCTTGCTTAGCTATATTTGCCATTTGTTTTATTCCTTCTGATATTATTTCATTTGCAAAGGATGGTAGGCCCAGTACACAAGCAGGAGCTCTCCTTTAATCTCTTAGTTTGTGCTTCTGGTCATCAGAAGGCAGGTGCCTTGTTTGACTGGAACCCTTAACTAACATTCAGTCTGTTGGGGGTATAGAAATTATCCTTTATTTCTGTCAGACAGTCTTTTAAGTGCTTACAGTTTGTTCCTAGTTTTGTTTTTTGTTCTTGTAATCGTTAAAACAAGCATTGTATTCAGCAGTATCTTAAGTTAATCAATGTTGTACATTTTCTTTTAGTTTTAATTAAAAAAGAAATATATATATATTTACATTAGGTCTTGCATACACCTTGTACCTTTCATCCTTTTTCTAGGCGGTAGTATAGGTTATGTGTGATTTAGGTAGGTATATGTTTTTTGGACAAGGAGATAGTTTTCAGAAAATTTTAGGCTTTGATTATGTTGACTGTTTGAAGACTACTGAGTCACGCTTAGAACGTTACATTTTGACTTTTTAGTTATATTTAAATAGTATACTTGCAAATGTGTGTCCTGGCATGAAATTAGTTCTTACTCTTGCAGCATGTAGATTTGTACATAGGCATATCATGTGGCTTAATACAATTAAACTTAGAGTTTTTTTTTCCATTACATATTCTTCTAATTGAACATTTTAATCTTTTAATTAGCCTGAAGGTTCTTTATTCATTACGACAATCAATAAAACGCAGTTGTCCTATGTCCTGGGAATTGTGGTTGCAGAAAAAATAATAGGCATTGTACCAGAAGGAACACATGAGTGGGAGAAGTTTGTTACCCCTGAAGAGCTAGAGCGCCTTCTGAAATCAAGTAAGTACTGGGCCAGATGATGGGAATGCACAGAGATATCGAGTGTTCCTTGTAGAAAAGGCAAGGGGACTAGATAGGTGAGGCAGCTGATGAAAACTGTACGCAGCTTTTCCTATGTGAGTTATCAGTCATATATTATGCATATCATTTGTGATTTAAAGTCAATTCTGCCTCCTGGCTTTTGCATAAAGTAAATAATCTAAATGAGTTTCTAAGAATGCAGAGATACTCAAGATTGCCATTGCAGCTAAACCCCTGTTTGACAGCCTAAGCGAAAAGGCAAAGCTTTTCCATCCTGTTCTCATGACAGGATGTACGCTGTGAAGTGGTTCATATCTTCCGGCTCAGGTTTGAGAATCCAACTGTATTGGCACTCCAGAACTGCACTGCACTGTTTGCCATCTTTGTGTTGGGAGGAGGTGGTTTTTCTTTTGGCTGCTGCTTCTTGTTCTTTATTTCTATTATGTTACTGAAAGGTTTCCTAAAAACGTGAAGATGAAACCCACCACAGATTTCTTAGTCAGCTCTTGAGAAACTGATTTGAACAAATAATTAACCTGCCCTTGTTTTGAATGCTTTTAAAATAAAGCACTATCCAATGACCTCCTTCTGTACAGATGGTATATAAATATTTGGTGGGGTTTTTTTTTACTTTGCTTTAGTTTCCTGTAGAGAAGCTGAAGTATGATTGGTAAGGTCTTCTCATAGCACTTTCCAGTGATGCCATAAGGAACATGACAAATACTTGTTTGTATGCTGGTTGTTCTTTCCATTCTCTCCTCAAAAGGAGAGGCAGGTGCAGAGGAGTGATTTGTTTTGATAGGGTGTTTTGTTTTCTGCCTTCTCTTATGTATCCTGCTGCGACATAGCAGAATTGTGCAATGAACCTGTGAGCTGCTCAGCAGGGAGTGCTAAATTACTCCTCACTTGCATTGAGCCCTGGATTGCATTCTTCTGCCTCTTATATTTGCCCTTCTCAGAGGGAATCTCCAGAATCCTTCCAAAGACATGTTCAGATATTGATTTTGAAATGGGTGATGTCAATCTGAAGAATGTGTCCACCTGCAAAAACGCTATCAGTCAGCCACGCGTGGTGTTGTGAAGCTAGCATACCACCTTGCAGTGGCTTGCCATATGGCATGTTAATGGCATGTGGCGTGACAGAGCTATTGCTGCTTCTGGTCCACCAATAGCTGGACCCGCTGTCACCAGTGCTGCCAGCCGTGATACCTATTGCCACTGCTTATGGTGGTGTCTGACAAAAACAGACTTGTGAAGTGCTTCTCCAAAGTTCAGAGGAGGAAGTGTATTTCAGACTTGTTATTCCAAAGTGATGTTGCAGTGACTTAGAATATTTGAGAGTATCAGTTGCTTTATGCCTTCTTATTTTTCTAGGTGGCTTTTCAGTGAAGGCTGTGAATGGGATGTTGTACAATCCTATCACGGGGTCATGGAGTTGGACAGAAAGCACGAGCATTAACTATGCAATGCACGCTGTGAAATCCAGGGGTCAGGGACAGTCAGGCCACACAGACCCCTCGTCAGAGATGCAACGTGAACAGCACTCTGCCACAGCTGGCACTGGCATGTGACTGTTTGAGACGTGTGGTGACAGACTGCCACCAGGGACAGAAAATAAGGTTTTACACAGATGGACATCATAAAAGCTTTTGTAACAATAAGTTTGCTGTTTGCATGACTAATGCTTATACTATTTTTGGCCAGTTATCTTAGGGCAGTCTCAGAAAAACAAATGCCCATTATCTCAGGAATCATTTAAGATTGAGATGAGCAAAGCTTCTGAAGAATAAGTATTTTTTAAGAAAGTAGTTGCAAATTGTCAGACAAGGAAACGCACATTATTCTGTCAATAGCTTGTAGGAGCCTCTTCTGTGATAGCTTTTTCAATCCTACCAGGAAAACTCAGGTCTCCACAGAATAATAGCTTAAATGCAGAGTGAGTTTAAAAGTACAGTACTGTATGGTAAATGAAGATACTTAGATATTCAAGTTACTAATGAAGTCAGTTAAAAATATAAATCACTTACAACCCTACCAGAAAAACATTTGTTTCCATATTATGCCTCCTCCCTGGGAGAAAAAGAAAGGGCAGCAAACCTTTTTTGACAGGTCATGCTATTTCTACAGTTGACATAACCTAGCTGTGCAGTGGAATAGGACTCTCCTAGACCAGAGTGTCTCTGCTGTCAGAAGTCTCTTCTCCATAAAGGTACTGTGCTTGTAACTTCAACTTTCTTCCCCACCCAAATAAAAGGAAATAAAATTGCAAGTAAAATTTATTAAGCAACTCTAGCTTTATGCTAGAAAAATGATACATTTGCAGTCTGTCCTGGAATTGGAGCGCCACGCCTACTCAGTCTCAAAGACCTGACGCCATGCATGCTAAGGAAGAGTATTGATCTACATGGAAATAGGACTTTCTAAATAAAATAACTTGTTTTTGAACATGGTTGTATCTCTTTTCTTCTCTCGCTCCCTCTCAGTCTCTCAGCTTGTTTACAGGTAGAGAGATGGGCTAGCTCTGTTTGTTTTGTATTTTTTGTTGTTTTTTTTTTAACTGTAATTTGCAGGGATGAAAATTAAAACTTTTTTGGTTACTCATGCATCTCTTATGGTAGAGGCTTGGTGGGGTAAATTATTGTATTGCGCGTTTGCATTCTTGCTCTGCTGCATCTGCTTGTTGCTTTGGAATCAATGTTTTGTGATGGATCTAATGATGCATTGAAGTATATAGGTTATTTATAATGGAAATATTAGTAATTCATTGATACTAAGACCGAAAAAGATTATCGTGGTTATCTAGTGTGGCCATTTCAGTAACAGTGAATTCTGCTTTGTAGTACCTGTTTGGGATATAGTTTGACTTTTGGGAAGAAGATTCATCTTCATGTAAAGAGTTAAGTGATGGAGAAGCCACTATATTGATAAGCAAATTGTTCCAAAGGTGACTAGTTGAAGTGTACTAGCCTCAGATCCCAGCCAGTCATGTCTTTATGGCTTTATTTGTAGGTTAAGGCTTTCTCTGCTATCAGTTGTCTCTTTCTTGTAAATATCGTTGTTGTGGTTGGGAGTTAAGTCATCCCTTAATCTCCTCTTGGGTAAAGGGACTGAGGTTGTTAGCTCAGTGTTGCTCACTGCAGTGTAAGTTTCTGACTTCGTATAAAACTTTTCTTTTACTTTTTGAGGTAAACATCTGAATCCGTCCCAATTTTTTACTTTGCCTTCTGAAGCATGACAGCGGAAATGAATGCAGTATTTCAGTAATGGTCTCACTAATGCTGTCTGCAGGAGCACCGCCGTCATTCTCCTCCTGCCTGACATCCTTGTTTTGCATGGGAGTGTCTGCTCAATCTGGTCACACATACAAGGTGAGGCGTAGTGTTTTGGAGTGGCGTGTGTGACACTGGGAAAAAACATGGAGCCAGAGCAGATCACCAGCAGTCTCTGTTCCTAGGAATGTGGCCTTGTGCTTATGTATATTAAAGCACGTGGTTTGAGTGTGTTCCCCTAGCTAAGCAATCAACTCAAATTGAAGTTATTTGTAACTCCATGAACGTTTCAAATTATACCAACAGTGACTTGAAAGAAATAGTATCTGAAAAGCACTCAGACCAAGACAGATTCCTGTGGGAGCCCACGAGAAACATTCTCCAAGGGTGATAATCCACAATTCACATATTTGTTTTTAAGACCTGTTAGGTAAAAATAAAATTAAGCTGGATAAAATTGGGATAAAAAGCTGATTTTTAGTTGCTTTAGAAGTAATAAATCTGGATGTATATTTAACCAGCTATTAGCATGGCTTTCTCATCCTTTCCTTTCTTCCCAATTGCTTGTTGCTTACTTGTATTTTTTCATTAAATTGCAAGCTGCCTGGGGAGGAATGTTTTTTTCACTGCTGTTTCTTTTGTACCTAACAAAAAGCCTTTGACGCTGCTTGAGTCCCCCAGTCCAGGCTCACAAGAGGGCTTATGTAGCTAAATTAACAATGGTTGACATTTAAGCAACTAGCAGATGCACCTGATTGTCCATGGATTTTGACAAAAGCTTACTCAGGCACCAGACCTGCTCCTACGCATGTACAGGAGCACTATCAGCTAGGGAGAGGTCAGTGAACGGTTTGGGCAAAGGAGTGGGGACTGCTTAAATAGGTCCCTATAACCATGGCATGTCTCCAGAGTGGCCTGGTGTGATCTGTCCTCTGTTTCTAGCCCACAGTTTTTCTCTCCTGATAGAGTATCCTAAGTATTCTGGCTGTATTTCATCCTTAACGTTAAAACATCCTTGGAGGTTAAAACAACCTCTTTTAAAGCTAGAGAGTAAATGACTGCACTAGAAATAATTTTAGTGAGATAGCAAAAAATTCCAGGACTTCCCTAAACCTTGCTTTTTAGTTGAAAATTCTTTTAAAATCCATACATTATTCAAAAATATGCATCTCTGACATAACACACATGCAGTACTATACCCTGAATAATATTATGTATTCATGCTGCAAAACCTTTTTTTCTTAAAATCTTCTCTACACTGGAAACCAGTAGAGGTTTCATGCTTCTCTTAACCCAGTTGCTGTGGAAATTTAACAAGTGCTATCGAAATAGGGTTTAGGTCAAATAGATTTGCAGATCTTTGGCTTTCCTGCCGCAAGCTTTTGTGAGCAGGAACCATACCTTTGAAGGTTATGGGAATAGTGGTAGTAGGAGAGAAAAAGTAATGTTAATGGTACCAGATAAGCAGCTGGGACTCTACAGGCCAAATAAGAGGTGATTCTTGCCTTGAGATTGTGAAAAACAGTCACATTTTGGGCTTACTCTTCCTCAGTCTGTTTTTACTTCTGGCTGCAGAGCCTTTTAAGCAGTCCTTGCCTCTCCTGTTCCAAGCCACTCATTTCTGCAGCGCAGCAAACCAGAGCAAGGAGCTGATCTGGGTAAAAGAATCTGACGAAGCAATCTACATCGTTCTGGGTGGTCTCAGCTATTCAGCCCCAGATTTGGCTCATTGTGGTGTTTCACCTCTCCCCTGTCATGCTGTACTGTCTGTCTCGCGTCTTTGCTGAGTCTCATGCTTATCTGAGTCTTCTGCACACTGATTCAGCTCATTGACCTAGTAACATTTTTTTTGGCGGGGGAGGGGGGAAGTGGTTCTGCTGTTCAGGGAGCTGAATCATCCTACCATCAAGGAATAGAGCCAGTCACCTGCACATGGTCGGGGAGAGGGTAAGAGCAGAACAGCCTCTTTGAGTGGCAGTAAGCTTACAGGTTGTCTCAGCCTGTCTTGTGGAACTGCACTTTAAAAAATATTAATTGCACTCAAGCCCAATTTGAATACTATGAGAGCCTCAAACATTTAATTTGGTTTTTAAATAACAATAGAACTTGATGTTTCCATGATGTTTCGTTGTGCTGTCTCATTGCCTGATGTTCACTTGCAGTCAAGTAACATTTCTTGGCCGTTTCTACAGAACTTTACAATGTCTTTATGTATGATTGATTTCACAAGCAACCTGTATCAGTTCTCTAAGGAATGGAAAAGAGAGAAAGTAGCGGGAATGGAAATGTGCAGTGCTGTGAGTGGAGATAAGAGTAAAGACCATCTTTTAGAAAGTTTTTCTGAAAGCAGCTTCTCAAGTTCTTTCATTATGTTGAAATCTTAGCCTTAACTAAAAATAGCTTATTATTCTCACACTTACAAGAAATGTTTGAAAGGAATAATCATATGCAGTCTGAAGGTACAGAAATCAAAAGGCTCTGCTTCTGTAATAAACCTTCCATTTTATTTTTTATTTTATTTTTTATTTTATTTTGTCGGTCTGATGAAGCAGGGGAAAGGAGAACAAGTGAGATAGGAAGAATATGAATCATAATTTAAGTGCTGATGATATAATTGCAGTGACTTGAGAAGAATCCGGGAGTAGCTGGTATGGGGAACAACACTGGAAAGCTAGTAGTTATAGAAGGAAGAATATTAATTCCTGGAAGATAAATACGATTCTTAAGGACTGAGCATGTTAAGCCAAGGTATATATGGCAGTCAAGTTTGAGTGTGCCTTGAAAGAGCAACTACCAGTAGTCGGGAGAGTGCCTCTGTGTCAGATTAAAGCATAACAAGTCAGGTATTCACAGCCTCCCACTTGTTTTTGTATAATGAACTCCAGCGCCTCATTCCAAAATACTTAACACCCTTGCTGAATTCCTCGAAAGGAAAGCTGGGCTCCTCTAAGTACAAACTGAATATTAGTGGCTTATTATGGTGTGATTAGCTGGTAGCTTCCTCATTCATGGTGTTTGCTAGGTTGATATAGAGACTCTCTTATTCTGCGGCTATAAGATGTGTTCCCGCACTATTTCTTTTTGTTGAATTCACTTTTATCAGGAACATACGCTATAGCAAAGCTTCTTCACCACCTCTGCCCGAGGTGCCTAGGAGGGAACAACTTGTGTCCTAGAACTGGAACACTGAGTAAATGAAATGTTTCAAGCTACATCAATTTAGTAAAGATACGGTCATTAATTTGTTAAAAGAGAAAAATGTGGAAATCCTAATGGATGATAAGGAAACCTGCTGCATAATTTCTCTTCCACATCCCCTCCCCTTTGAAGTCCTCAACCAGCCAGCTTAGTACACAAGTACCTTTTGTCCCTAAGTCTTTACCATGGATCTTTACTTTGAGGTCACGAGGCCATACCTGGTTACAGAGATGCCCTCAAAAGATTATGAGGAGGTAGAGCCTGTTCTTCTGTTGTTCTTCCCACAGAGCAGAGGGAAGGTGATATAGTGAAAATTGTATCTCATTGATTTTCTCAGTACAGCGCAAAGTGCAACTCTCAAGTAAGCGTGTTGTTCCTGTTTTAGGGGCAGATGAACTGAGGCACAGAGCAGTGAAGTGAATTGCCGCAGTCACCTAGCTGGCTGCAAGTGCACTGGGAACAGAGCAGCATCCAGAGGACCACCTGGTAATACGCTGCTCACTGCACTAGGCAGCGTTGCCTCCCTGATACTGCCTCTGCTGGGCTTTGTGGAACCCACAGGGGAGGGAGTGGTATCTTTTAGTATACAATTATCCGTGAGTATATCTAAAGCAGATTCATGGTTTTATTAGTTTCTCTGCTGTCTCAGAATAATTTTTTTTTCCAGTGCAGCGTGAATTTCGTTCCATTCTGTTTCCTGCTTCGTGATGAGTGCCCAAAAAGTAGTTCTTTTTATGCAATGCAGTTATCTTGCCATCCTAACCACATATTTTTCTTAGCCTCCATCCAACAGAAAGTAGAATATTGGTTTTGTAACTCTCAAAATCACTTAATTCTGCTTAGACTAACCAGTACTATGAATCTGAATAAAAATAACATACTTTTCAGATGATTTTGTGATAGAATCAACCTGTATTCCCTCTGGTTCCTCCAGATTACAGGATAAAATTCCAGTTGTTTAACATTCATGCTAACAGTAGACTTTCTTTG